GGACCTCAGACTCTTTAGTGGCCTTGTCAGCAAATGTATTATTTGGAACAGAGCAATAGGTAAGAACTTTCAGGTTTGTCAAACTCATTTTCTGTCTTTTTGAAGTCTTCACAGTGACTTTGTTCTGCAATAATCAGCTTTAAGACCTTGAGTGCCCAAAGGTCCTTCAAACAATTGTAGAATAATTGTTCGTCACAGGTATTTGAAGTCCAAATTGCTTAATAATCATAAATTTAGAGTCAAAATATGCTAGCAAAGACTTAAAGGCAGAGTCCTGGTACTTAAAATGTACCATTAGCAATATTAATCACTGAACAAAGGCAGTTGTAGTCATAATTCTGTCTAACTTCTGTCAAAATCTGCCACATCTCCAAAAAAAAAAAAAAAACTGCAAATCTAAGATGAAAATGATTTTCTCTGTCTTGCCATATTGCTAAATGTGATTAGTAATTTGCAAAAACAACAACTTAAGGCACATTTTCAGGCCCACACTGAATGAAATTTTGAAAGTTTAAGAAGTTTCTTGTATTCTTGTGCTTGTTGCTTTATGACAAATTTGGTACACTCTAAAAAATGCTGGGTTGTTTCAACCCAACTTTGGGTCAAATATGGACTAACCCAACTTTTGGGTTAAAAATTTAATGTAAAAATTTAACCCAACGGTTGGGTTAGTCCATATTTGACCCAAAGTTGGGTTGAAACAACCCAGCATTTTTTTAGAGTGTACATTTCATACACTTTCAACTACCTCTAGCATTGTACAATTCTAAGCTCCATTTAACACTATTTGTTTAAATCTATTCTGCTGCTATTCTGATAATTTTCTCCCCAAATCCCCAGAAAATGAGTAAAAAGTCTGAGGATTCTGCCTGGTCCTGAACATTTGTACAAAATAGGCTGAATGGCACCCTTATCTTCCAAGAGACACCTCCTCTTATTCTCAAATCAGTTTAAACATTTGACAACAGGCGAGCAGTTGGTCACATTGCACTGTTAAAATCATTTAATGAACAATTTGGCGCATACACACCACCATTAAAAGCACATTTGAGCACAACAGTCCAAGGTAAGACATCAAACAGACCCAGGAACACAATAAACCGCTCACTGTTGGAACACACCAATCAATGAATACCAGCTGTTGTGAACGTTTACATTGCACTAGAGGGTCTTTTACTCTGTTTTGTAGTTGGGGTATGCGGTCTACCTTGAGCGACGAGTATTTGAGACATATCACATTAAAAGATACAGGGGGATATGCTTCAGATTTGTCCCAATTAACCTTGTAATAAGATGTATCAAAGGCCTTATTAATGATGGTAATGAGAGAGATGAATTGACAGTGTATAAAAACAGTGCTGTATGAAGATATGCCTGCAGCACTAGTAGACAGAGGGAGACCACACTCATGAAAATGTAGGACAAAAGAGATCCTCACCAGCAAGGACACACACACATAGAGGGAGAGAGAGAGAAATACAAGGCTAGCATTGTGTTACCCTTGACTCTTAAAGTATATATGAATCAAGGAGCTTATTATCTGGTTGACACCATAAGAGAGTTGTTCCCTCCTCAGCACTACTTAGGGCTCACCTCATAATGTGTCTGCGCTTAAACCCAATCATAATCCGTCTTACGCAATAACAACAAGACAATACTTTACTGAGAATGTCTGATGTCATATCATAATTACACTAATGGTAAAAGCTCTCTTTGCAAAAAAAAGTGCATTTTTACTTGTATGGTTAATTGTTTTCTGCTAAATGACTGGCCTTGGTTTTCTTTCATCAAAAATAAAAAAATGCCATAATGAAGTCAAAGAAATAGAATTATATTATACATTTATATTATATATCTATACATATGGAATATATGGAATTTGGTTAATGGAAGTCCAACAATATAAAAATTAATTCAAAAAGACAAATGTGAGTACAAAATATCTAAGCAGGTTAATATAATCTGCTCCTCAGACTGGAATATCTATATTCTACTAGAATTATGCGTTGTATGTTGTCTTTATGATATATAGCTTAAAAACACAGCACTTACTCAACACTTGCTTTTGAAAAGGCATCTGATCCAGTCTATCACACATTCATATTTTTTCCATTAACAGGCCCTCTGTTCTGTAAACATATGCAAACAAAACTGATTAAAACTGCTTATCGTTGCATGTTGGTCTTAGATGATATATAGCCTAAAAACCTTTCAAAGTTTGATATATTTATCAAATCTGAACTTATTAAGATATTGCCAGGAATATCAATAATTCAAAAATATTCATCAAAGATGATCATTTTGACTTTGACATCTAATTAAATAAAAAACAGTGTCAAATAGTCTGCCTTCAACCAATGTGGGACTATCAGCTAATAGAAAAAAAAATCTATTTAGTCATTTACCGGGTTGAATAACTTCAAGGGTTTTCCGAGCCCCCTTTGGATCACCCTGGGAATTCCCAAGTGAAGCCATCGCCTTAGGAAACCTTCACTTTCTTTGTTTGAGAGAGAATCCCCAACAGATTTAAGTCATATACTGTTTAACTTCACCAAATCCAATTTCCTCCTTTTCTCATATTCCTGTGATATTTTGCAGTATTGTGAGGCCATTTATCTGTAGTCTTAATTGGAAATTCTGATATCTATTTTGACTGTCCTTGGGAGGGATATTTCTTTGTCATTTTCACGGGAATAGCCTGGTATGATGGCCTGGTCACATAGCTGTCCTCAAACATTTGATAAAAGCTGACAAAACCGGGAGATTTATTGACATTATTAGGAGCCCGATGACATCATAACCTTGTTTGGAAATTGAGGAATTATCTGCGTTAGTTCCAATGTCGGGAACAATTGGAAACTTAAAGCTGAAGCGTGTTCATTTTTTAAATATTTATCTTAACAAGCTTAATATGCAGAAACAACTGCTTGCTGAAAACTTTTCGAAATTAATATTTTTGCAATTTCTTGATGCAAATGGTGCAGAAATTACACACTTCCTTCAAGTAGCTTCATTTCGACTCCAATCAATCCTTAACTATGAGTCTATCAAAGTCATTCTGTTTCAACTCATCCATCATGTAAATCTAGGAACTGAGTGTCTTTGTATGGGGGATGGGAAGCTATATTTATCATTCAATTTAAAGCAGCAAGGTTTTTCTTCTTTTATACAAATGAATTAATCTATTTTTGTCATTACGGATAATGTATTTCATTACTGGAGGATAAAAGAGGGGTTAACTCATAAATAATTTAGAGGAAGGGAATCTGGTTGCAGTATAATTAATTATCAACTGGATTTAGAATATGACTCCATGGATGATCATTTTATCTGTCTTTGTCTCAAGGTAAGAAGGAAATGTTAGCGTATTATGAGACAGCATATTCAAACATGTCTGGGAGATGAAACATGAACTGCACTGAACCTACAACATTTGATTGATTGATTTAAAGATGAAGATCGTAGCTGTGTTTGTAACCAAAAGTAACCGTGTATTCTGACTATTTTTCCTTAAGCAAATTTAATGTATTATAGTTGTTGTTTTTCTCTATCTACTGCTTTAGATGAGGGATTTGCTACATGACAAACTGCCATTTTATGATAATCATTATGGCACAAAGGAACATATTGCAATGAATGGAATCCGTGTGATCTGAGCATAATCTATATCCTGCCTGTTGTCTCCAGCATGCAATATTCTTTCACAGGGTGCTCTTCACACTTAACCAGCACTCACCGTTGAAGAAGGCATCTGGCACGGTCCACTCCCACACACATTCCCACATCTTAATTTTTCAATTAGCAGGCCCCTTGTTCTCTAAACATATGCAAACACAGCAGGGCATCCTTTAAAATTCAACTCTAATCTGCAGGCTAGTTAGAGTAAATTGGCAGGCTTGTAAACCTTGAGAAATCTGAATAGAGCTCATTATCAGTTCATCTCTGCTGACTGGCTTTTATATGAGAAGCATGTGTTGTAGAAGCTGAACTATGATTGTTTTGTGTGAATAGGTATGTGTAGACATGTTTGTGTGCAATGAAAAAACTACTGAACTTCACTGCAGTAGTGCTACAGGCAACAGCATAAGGCTCTGAATAAAAAAGACTTTTCCCCCCCTTGTGAAACTCTGTGAATAATATTGGAAGAAAGTAGATACATAATTGGGTGTTTCTTCAACTTATGACACTTTTATGTCCCAAGGGTTGATTTTTATTAACACTTACAACTTTTTTTCTTTTCTTTTTGTTATATCCTGTTCACATTTAAACTGTCTTGCAAAGTTTTTACCATGCTTTGATTATTTCTTATAGATTTTATATCGTCACAGACTAAGACTTTCAATCTTACAATATGAAAACCCATCATGAATGAATTATTCAACTTAAAAAAAAAAACAGTAAAAGAGCAAAACTACTGTGCTATACTAATATATTTCAATATTTATAGTATGAATATTATTTATATAATTTGTTTTTACTTTTTTAGGGTTGTTATTTCCACCACAAACAATTATGCAAGTTTTCTTTCTTTTTTTTCAAAATTTGTGTACTTGTTTACCAAGTACAGAAAACAGAAGTCAGAAAAAAAAGATAAAATTCTTCTGTATTGCACATGTCAGCTGTTAGACAGTTATTAGACAAATTTAGTAAACAGTGCGAGTGTTGTAATTAGACAAATTTAGTAAATAGTGGGAGTGTTAAAACAGTGTTTTAAGAGAGTTCTACAGAGCCAAATTGCCTGTAACTTAGTTGAAGAAACGACTAGGCTAATTGTTAAAAAATTGCGACATCTTCTAGAAACATCAGCATCAAATATGCATATGAAGACGTGTTTGAACATGAATAATGAGATCTACCACTAAATTAATCATCTCTGAATGACAAAAATTATAAAACGCGACGTTACCTTGAGTTTTTGTTGTCAAACATAATACACGTCACGACGTCGTCGCTAGACTTGGGTGTGTCTCACATGTCGATCAAAGTTGCTTCTCTCTTTAAACCAGCAGTGACGACTAGCGGGAGTGTGAGAGAAACGAAATCCTCCCATTTGCTTTGATGACAGTACTTCTGTAATTTTCAGTCTCACTAACTTTCTTTATGAATAATCATTAGTAAAATAGCGACGTACAGCTTTATCTGCTTAAGTGAGATAGGAATCATTTTTGTTTTGCTGAAGGCGTGTCGCGCATCTTTAAATCTCTCACGTGATGTCTTTACATTCCCGTCACTAAGATAACTGTATATCAATGGTAAGTTTTCATACACAGCTTTAGCAGTGTCTTTGTACTTTTTTCATGATTCGGACCATAAATGACAATTGTTTTGATATCACACTGTTAGACAGATGGCTGGACAAAACGCGGAAATCGAGCTTGATTTGATCAAAACTGGAGAGAGAAGCTCTTTGGTAAAAGCTGGTAAGTTAAATAATAGCCAGCATGCTCGCATATTAGTCTAACACACTGAAACGATTTTGGTTTGGTGCATGACATATTGAGAACAATGATTTCTCACTCATTTTGAGATGGTTATTGATTGAAGGGTGCAACAGTGCATTAGCTTTCAGATCAGTTAGAAATAGGTGAATCCTGTCCCCAGTCTTAATGGATCTGTTTTTATCTATTTTTTCACTATGACTATTACTTTCCCCATCCAGTAAATCCTCCCCCAAATGTAGTTTTTATGATGGTGTAGTATGCTCAGAGAAGGGAAGACTGGGGCTAGTTGTCACACTGTCTATTACGCCATAGATCCCCACATTTATTTATCAGAAAGACTTGTATTAGAGATTATATCATGCATAAAATGGTTATGCATGACAGCTGTGCTGTGATTGTGAACAGCTGATAATGGCACACCTGAGAATCTGCTCATTTCGAAGCTGCTGTTTAAATCCTGTGACTGTGTTGTCAAAGAGCATGGGCTCCCCTGTAATAAAACACGAAAGATTAATCTTCTACGTCTGTCATATCATAACACGTTCACTTCACAAAGCGAGAACACAGTGAAGACAAACCACAGAACTTTGTGGAGAAACCATTCTTTATCCTCTTTTCTAAATTATTCAATCTGAAGGAGAGAGAGAGAGAGAGAAGAAGAAAAAAGGCCAATACAGCCCAAAGCCATTTTCATTTGTCTTTCCCCTTCTCTTTTTTATTTTGGACTAACAATGCAGATTCCTCTACGGAAAATATGTCCCGTGTTTTAATTAATCATAAGACATTAAATGTTAAATAAAAGAGAGAAAAGCACATTGAATAATTCATTTAGGATAGGTGGAAGAAAAAATAAACAAGGTAGTGCAGCCAAAGCAATGATTCATTAATAGTTTGCATTCAGATCTGGCAGATTCATTATTGAATGATTTCTGGGCTCACTTTGAGACCAGTGAGAGCACAGGAACACATCTCAGCATGTTTTCTAGACAGGCCTTGATAAACATAGCTTCAGGATGAAAGAACTTTTGAAATGAGAACTGACACGGTGGATTAGAGAACATTGATTCTTCTGCATATATAGTGGTAGATTTGTTACTGACAGGGATGTTTAGAGTATTTAAAAGCGAGCACCGCAAAAATGACACTTTCTCCTTTGACCAGTTAAATGTGCAGAGACAAATATATAAGTAAGCTTTCCAAAACAATGTAAAAAAAAATATGGCTCTGTGGCACTTTCAAAACATTGCAGAGTCGATTCATGAAATGTTGGATTCTGGCTCAGACAATGGCATGAATTTGGGGCTTGAATATAGAGTGCAATAGTGCCCACCCACTTTTTCAGCAGACTTGGTTCCAGAAGTAATTTTCCATTTAATTTTTCTCTTAGGGATTTTTCAAAAGTCCTTGTTAAAGAGTAATAAGACATGAACCAAACCAACCAGCTATGCAGTGAATCACAACATTACAAGCTTTGTTTTGAAGCTCAAAAACTGTGTACTTAATGGTTTTAATAAGCGTTGCGAATGTGTAACCTGTGTGGAACCAATTTTTTTTTTTTTTTGCACTCTTACAGTGAAAGTGAATAGGGACCAGGGCAATGAAGATCCAAAAAGGACAAAAAAACATTATAAAATTTCACCATACAACTCTGACACTACTTTTCTGAAGTCACCTCATAGCGTTGTGTGAGGAAAAGACTGAATTTATGTCATTATTTACTTAAAAATCCTGCTTTGAAAACCTGGTCCCTGTTCACTTTCATTATATGGATATTCTTCTATAAATATCTCATTTTCTGTTCTTCAGAAGAAAGAAAGCCATACAAGTTTTAAAATTATGACAAAATGTTCCTTTTCGGATTAACTTTTCCTTTAAAGGGGTCATATGATGCTTTTTTTAAAGATCATTATTTTGTGTATTTGGTGTAATAGACCTAGAAACACACAGCGTCTCTCTGACATGGCTGCTTCAACACTAACTGCGGTTACTGAAACCATGCCTTCTTTCTTTGCGTGCACATTTGCGGCGGGATTATGCAAATATTTCCACATAGTGGGGTAGATATGTGGGGGCGTGTTAGAATGAGCCGTTTTAGGGGGGCGTGGCAGAGTCTTAACTTTGATAAAGAATATCTCTTTGGTTTTGAGACTTTAGTCTTTGCAACTTCAGGGATCTTATCTATGCACAATCAGCTTGTAACACTCCAAAGAGAAAGGAAAACTTGAAATCGCATCATATGACCCCTTTAATACTTTAGAGGATTTTATGAAAACCTTTTGTATAATCTCACTTACTAGGTGAGTGTAAATCAATATCTTGCTCAATAAGTGTAAACATGCAGATTATCCAAAAACTCTTTCTCTTTTGCAATAACAGAGGTATCCAGCACAGCACCTGGAAGGCTCTCACCCATTCCTGAGCTGGATCCCTGGGAGAGAGAAGCAGAAACGAGCTCTACAGAATTCACATACTCCTTATGCTCGGTGGACAGGTACAGCACTGCCTCCTCCTCCAGCAGCTCCCTATCTGACTCCCAGGAGAGAGGAGGTGAGTCACACATCATCACACCTGGGTTTGCAGATTGGCCACCTTCTTCTTTCCCAGACCACTATACTGCCCTAAAATGCTCTAAGGAATAATAATTACAACATCAACTGCCACCGCGAATTGTCTTGTATTAAAATTCCAACTCCTAATTTTCTCTCAAATGAGCACTAGTTTTATACACTATCTTGTTTTAAAAAATCCTTTGATTTTTTTAAATGAATTTATGTGTTGCCACAAGCATATAATTATGCATTTTTAAATTGTACATTTTTTAAATCTATCTATAATTTAAAATGAAAACTAAGGAAACGCATGTGATTTTAAAACTGTCTACATCAGTTGAATAACTGAATTAAGCAGCACATTCGATTAAACTTACATATAGAGATGAATTATTAAAGCCATGCGCAGAGAACTCTTGTGCATGACTATTACGATTCAACAGCTTTTTCAATATGAAATTAATTAGAACAATATATTTCCCCTCATTCAGCCGGTAGGTTCAGATGAGTTAAGGTGCAGTCATTATGTCGTAGTGTCAAGGTTTAGACATGCGTTACAATGCCTTTCCTGGTACAATATTCAGAGGTTAATCTAATTCCTACTCTTATGCTCAGAGGCAAAGGTATTTTGTCCCGCATTAGGCTCAAATCTACTTAAAGTCTTGAAAGCCCCATTTGAAGCTTGGGTTATTTTATTTTTTTACACAAAACCCTGGGCTGTGTGGAAACATTTTTTAAAAACAGACCATCACATTAAGTCGACTACACTAAAATCCCCCTAATTTTTTGATTCTACACTAAAATCCCCCTGTTTATGTAATCACCTGGAAGCGCCTGGAAAGGAAAAACACCTATACAGATGGATGATAATTGATTACATCTCCACACAGCTCTATTCCTTCTCTCTTTTGAAGGAAAAGGTGATTCAGTAAATTATGCATGTGTACAGAAGTGCCCAGCGAGAGCTGGGAGGCTTTTAAACTGTTGTATACAAGAGGTGCGGACAGACTCCTGGTCATTAAGGGCCTTTGAGTGTCTATCCCCATCAGCCGAGATCCCAAGGTAAAGAGTTTTCAAAGAGGCATTTAGGTTCTATAACATATGTAACACTCCATGGGCTTTTTAAGCTCTTGGCATGATCATGACATGTCATTCTGAGCATTTCTGACATCGTTCATTTTTATGCTTTTTGACATACAGTAAGACAGTAGCAGCATGTGTGTTAGACATATGTGATCATTTCAGTTCTAAATGGATGCATATTTTGATGTACTGTAGTAGTGATAAAGCCTGTCTGTTAATGTGTTAACATTTTTCAGCAATATTTTTTCCAGTGCTGTCTCTTTGTACATTACAGATGTTTAAGGGTGTATCTTTAACTATGGATACTTTGGCCTTGTAAAAACTTACAAAACACATTTTCTCTTGCTAGTTTATTTAATTTTCCCACTAACAATGTCCAATGGTTTACATACAAGCATCACAGGAGAATTCTGTAATTTCTGTCATATTTCAGACATTTCCATCACATTATGGATTTTGTTTGATAACATGTGGTGATGGAAATAATAAACAGCGGTGGAAATTACATTTGAAACATTTTAAGCCATCTGTTTATAATTTTATAGTTAGCATTTTGTAAATAAGCACCCAAAATTATATAATATTTACATTTTTTGCATAATCGCATTTCTGCCCGAAACCCTCGGAACATAAAAGTACTAGTATTTTACCCTATATGGATTTTTCAAAAGTCTTTGTTAAAGAGGCAAAGCCATGAACCAGACCAACCATCTATGATGTGAGCAACATAACAAACTTTGATTTGACGCAAAAAAGTATTTGAAAGTCAGACAAAAGGACAAATGAACAAGAAGGAAAGAACTACAATACTATGAAGCATTATGAATGACATAAGTTAGAAATGATATATAAATATAATAAACTATTGAAGATGTTGATTGTGCATATAGAAACAACATATTTTAAGTTTATTGCAGAAATATGCTTATATATACAAATATTAAAAAAAACTGAAACCCTTGGAACATAAAAGTGCTTTTAGTTGGAACCGCAAACCCCCCCCCCCCTCAAATTATGTCGTAAAGCTTGAAACTTATCACACTTTTATTTTAGATTGGTTTGGCAAGAAGCACCACACATGGCCATTTTTGATCTGCATCAGTACTTGAATTCAATCTTTTTATTTGTTCAGGCCTTTTTTTTTCATGACGTATTGCCAGCATCTGTAGCATGACATTTCTGCTAACTAAACAGATACAAACTACAAGTGTACTCTCCATTAGGAAGGTTTTACATGCTTCTTTTAAATACACTTCCTGCAGCTGTGAATAAAGTGTAGATGCTTTAGCATTCCCTGTTGACTGTCCACAATCCCATTATTTCTTGTTCTTGTTGTTCAGAGTTCTGTGCCGGGATTGTGCTGAATTGTCTCTTCTGCCGATTCTACGAATTATTCCTCATGCTACCAGAAACTTGTGAGCGAGCTGCTAACTCCATCTGCCCTGCCTACATGCTTTTCTCTCCGCCTGCGGAACCTGCACACAATAACAACTGGAACTGCAATTGTGATTTTGACTGTGGCCTTATGGACGCCTGCCACGAAACAGGGGAATGTCTTGAACTAGCAATGGAAATTTCTGAGGTTTGCTATCACTGAGGTGCCTGCAAAACTGAAGATGTTGCTTTGTTGGGAGAAAACTTTACAATTCCACATCACTTTGGGATAAAAAAGTTGGTATTTTCCATCCCAGAACTCTACAGTCTATGCCAAGCCAAGCTAACGTATGCTCATTTGGACCTAGCATAATCGAAATAAGTCATTCTAGGTTGGAAAATAAATGTAAACATGACAAGCTACTATTAGTGATTTCTGCGCAACTATTTCGACTCTTATATCCAACATAATCCAGTCTCTAAACTCATGTCATTGGTTAAAGAGGTAGAGAAGCGCCTCCAAGTTTTCTGATTGGTTAAGTTGAGTGGCTTTCACTTAAATAACACAAGACCTCCTGTAAAACAGGCTCCTTGACAAAAAGTGTGTTTTGACTCACACTATTGAACTGATCAAATACTGAGAACAGAAATAAACTCGCAAGCACTTTCAGGTTTGGCATGGAAAGGCTGATGAAATGATCCTATCAGCTTCACTAGGTAAACAGTTCTACACAATAACAGGTCCTTGTGCCAGCGTATGTCGATTTTTATCACAATGAAGAGCGGAGTGGAGAGAAAAGGCCTTCAGTGTGTCCCTGTGTAGATGGCTTGTTTAAACTAGAGTGCAATTGTTAACAGCCGGTTTGAGACGGTGTTTTGTAGGACACTTGTCCTTCTAGGGCCCATCAACCTTTGTTCTTCGTTCAGGAAGACTGCTCTCTCGAGTGCACGGTGACGGTGTAATAGATCGTTTTTGTCAGTGCCAGCCTCTCGTCACATAATGGGGAAAGCGACACTTTTGTGTGTGTGTTTGTGTGTATGTAATTCAGGCATCTATTTCAGGGAGAGGTCAAGGTAAGAGAACGATCACGCCAGGCAGTGGGCTGGAGTGTTATTGTGTTATCTTAGCTTGCTAAACATTTGTTTTCAGTTATCAGATAGAGATACCAAAGGAGTAACCGGGTTGTTCAAACAACAGGAAAACCTCAGCGCAGTTTACCAAGAAGTGGGTAGTGCTGTTTTTTTCCTCCATTTTTGTGTAAAACAAAAAGTCATGGCATAAAAATCATATAAATTTTTTATCAGTCTACCAGCAAATCAAATTGCTTAGTTGTCACAATAAGCTCTTTCACTGGATTTACCATATTAGTAGCATCATATCTTAGAAATTTTTTTCTATCTACAAGAAATTGATATCTACAAGCAAAACTGTATAGCCTGTTTTGTTTTCTGCAAAATATATTTTTGTGTATATATCTGTATTTTTTTCTGTTCATACATCTGTGTGTATATATATATATATATATATATATATACAGAGTTCTGGCATAAAACTCTAGATGGCGCAATCCGATAGGTCTAGCTCAATCTGACCTGGCAACATCATTGTCACATGGCAGCTGATTGGTTCTCTCCTGTTTCAGTTGCCAATGAACTTACTGCTCAATATTCAAATACCTGGCTTTTGTTTCCTGTAGCAGTTTACAGTACACTTCAGAAACCCTCCACCTTCCCCAGCTCCACCTGTATAGATCTGCTACGAGGTGATGTGTGTATATATATATATATATATATATGCAGAGTTCTGGCATAAAACTCTAGATGGCGCAATCCGATAGGTCTAGCTCAATCTGACCTGGCAACATCATTGTCACATGGCAGCTGATTGGTTCTCTCCTGTTTCAGTTGCCAATGAACTTACTGCTCAATATTCAAATACCTGGCTTTTGTTTCCTGTAGCAGTTTACAGTAGTGCCTGAGCAAACAGATGCCTGCTTAAACGATAAACATCTGCATGTCTACAACTTTTGGATCTCTGTCAAATTACCTGATAGCTGTGGGAGCCACAGGGGCTGTTGGGCTTCACTAATGGTTCTGCATATGGTCTTACCATCTATTAAAGAACTTCCCAAAAAAAATTTTTTATTTCTTTGCATCTGTGACTTCTTTTCATTGTTGATAATGGCTTTATGGCTGTAGTACCAATCAGGGCATGTCAGGGGGGGAAAAAATCCCATAGATCTACACTGAAGGAGCTACCCATATATCATAAAAACCAGTATGCTAAAAACCACTCCAAACACCAAAACAGCCCTATAGCAGTGCTCTAGCAACTAACCACATTGCCCTGCTCTGCATGAGCAAGTCCAGGTTATATTTTCTTAATGTAAAAATCTAGTTTTTGTCAATGTTACTGAATGTGTCAAAAAAAGAAAAATCTTGTGTAAATAAATTTATATGGTAGCCAAAAAATAGCAGTTCTTGAGTTCTTATCATGTGAAATGATCTCTTGAATTATGAATGCTGAACTATGTAGGTGTGAAGTCCATTATCCCTTATTTCCCAAGATTATTTAATCCCCAATAGGCTATCAAACAACTCGTGGCTTTTGAATCTGGGCCATCCGCGTGTGGATGTATGTCAGCCATATACACAATCAAAAAGTGAGCTCCCCCTCTTATGAACTAGGGTGGGTTTATGCCTTTGGGCTATGCAGACGTTCAATCCCAGTGTGTGTTTCACGGGCCCATCAAGCCCATGGGCTCATATCAGAGATACCTTTCAATCAGTAAGTGATCCCCATCTGACATGACAGGTGATTTTCCTCTGCGTCCAATTAATAACCTCATTTTAACAATTAACAGTGGAGGATTGTGGAAAGCCCTGCGGAAAGCGAAGGCCTGAGGGATTGGTAGCAGTTTTAGGTTTTGCTGAAGCAAAGCAGATCCCCCTAGGTTGGCTCCCATCATCCCCGGTCATAAGGCCACGCCCTTTTCCAGGTGTTGCCCTATGAGAGGTCTCCGAGGACGGGACGAGATAAAAGGTGGGGTTGAAGATGGGCTGGGGTGGGAGAGCGCATATGGCAGGGAATGATGGAGTATGGAATGAAACCTCTGCCTTTACACCCTGCGGAGAAGAGGAAATTAAAGACTAGGTGGAGGGAAGGAGAGCGATAGGGGGTGTTTGTGGAAGGAAAGGGTGATTTAAGTGTCAGGATGGGGGGATGGGACTGTGGAGTTAATTACTGAGTAATGAGGGACAATTTATTGTGTTCTTGTTAGACACATCAAAATGTCTATTGTGAGACTCTCTGTTAATGTGTCCCCTTAGAGCTTGGTGCTAAAGGTCCCAAAAGCTTGTCTGGAGCTTTAGTAGCCCGCCTGAGTCTGATGCAGCCATCCTGGGACCCCAAGGGCCCCGCGGAGCCACTGAAATACCTCCAGGTGCTTTTAGTGTCGGTCCCCGAGTCAGGAGAATTTATTCCGAGAAATAATGAGAGTTGCATTAGCAGAGTATCGATCCCCCTCAGTGTGGCCTTCCCTGTATATATGTATATATATATATATATATATATATATACATTTTGAATTTAATATAAATTTTACATTTTAATTTTAAATTAATATTAATAATAATTCAGCAAGTATGCATTAAACTGATCAACAAATACAGTGAAAATTACAAATGTGTGTGTGTGTATTCATCAAATAATGAAATTATTAAAATCTGAAAAACAAAATATTTCACAATTTCCACAAAAATATTATGAAGCACAACTGTTTCTTTAGCAGCAAATCAGCATATTAGAATGATTCCTGAAGGATCATGTGACATTAAAAACTAGAGTAATGGCTGATGAAAATTCAACTTTACCATCACAGGAATAAATGACATTTTAATTGTATTACAATAGAAACCAGTCATGTTAAATTGTAATAATATTTCACAATATTACTGTTTTTAATTATTTATTTATTTATTCAAGAGTTTATTTTATTTAAAAAAATATGAACATAAGGGACTTATTTCAAAAACATATTTTTTAACCAATCTTAAAATATAAAATTTTATATAATTAAATTATATACTGTTCTTATTAATTTAGTATGATTTTACAGTAGTAACTATTGCATTTAGGTGAAAACCATGGTATGTTTTCGTAAGGAGAGGAAAGAAATGATGCAAAACCTTTTCAACTGTCAGTTCAGTGAACTAAAAGTGCATGTGATTCTCAAGGCCACTTCTAATAGACAATTTTGGAGGAAAAGTCAGTAAAATCATCCTTCAGCCCTTACCTAGAGAGAGAAACCTCAGCCTTTGATGTGGTGCACGTGAAATCAGACCACAGAACAAAGCTTCCGTCACCGACAGCCAGATGTCAAAAGTGATCCGCACCATTATTATTGAGTACCTGTCATGCATGATTCACAAGCAGCAGTATCAATAGAGATATGTACAGTATGTCTGCATGACATATAAACCCCAAAGGAGAGGATATAAATAAAATCAGCTCTAAATAACACCACAAGCCATTGTGATCAAATGAAACATGCTTAAAATGCTTATTTTTGGTTTTCTTCAACAAATTTGCATAACCAACATTTTTTTTTTCTTCACAGCAGATCATAATCTAAACCCAGTAGTAATGGCATTTCTAATCTGTGATAATGCAATTTTAATCTGAATTGTGTTCCTTGTTTTGTAGCTCAAATGAATATGTTCCATCAGCAGCTGAATGTGCCTTTGAAATGATCTCTCTGGACGCACGAGTAGAATATGGAATGTCTATAGAATGCAAATGAGCTTTCTCTGGACGTGCATAAATTAAGCAATGAGGTTCCAGCAATAACACAAGGCTGTGAGGAGCATCTATTAATAGATTAATAGAATTTGAAATTAGGCTTTATTTACGACTCCACTCCGAGAACAGGATTCCTCCCCTGGTGTTTTAAGAGCCGGTGGAAGTCTCTGTCCGGTTTATCATAATGGAAGCCTTCTACAGGAAAATGCATCACTTTTTGCATTACAAACAAGAACTGGATGTGCTGAAAGTGCATTTTAGTGCTTTCTTTATAGCACAGTTGAAAGTGAAAGACACTGCAGCAACTTACGGGTCACATTTACAGTGCTGCGCTAACATATACCGAACGCCATACGTTGACTATACATTATTGAACACCTCCAGAGTGGTTTTCTAAGACATATTCTTCGTGTTGTTCTCCTTTTTCTCCAAATGTCCCTTAGGGGCCACCGGCAGCAAGCTCAAACTCTTTTTGAAGAGAGACAACAATTTTCCACCATACGAGTCAACTTTTTCATTCATCAAAATGGCAGAACACATATGCATCCAGCTCCCCATAGAATTCTCCCCTAAGGAACATGCTTGTCAGTGTGAGAAAGCAAGTATACCAACAGTGTGTTAGGTAATAGGCCACCTCATTAATCACCAGAAGTTATAGCTTATGTAATGGCAAAACAACCTCAGCTCAACAAACTCATAACTTTGTGTTTAGACTCATGTCATGTACAAACTTGGTTGTACTATGGTTTTTTCCTATTTTTAACTAGCAGACAAGCTGCAGTCGAAGACAAATATACAGTACATAATGGAAAAAAGGTGTCTGAGGATAAAGGAGCAGTAGAAACAAATGGATTTTGCAGAAAACTGGTGTTTGGATTAAGTATATTACATTCATCTGTAAAGGCCATGAGTGTTTCATGTGAAATTTTCTTTATTAAAAAGTTTAAAAGTGCCAATATAGTGTTCTGTATAGCACACAGTAGGTTACATAATACAAAAGACAATGCCAGCTGTATAAAAGACAGCAAATTCAACTAAAAAAAATAAATGTAACAGTGTCATTAAGGTTATTAGTTTGCTAATTAGAATATATGAAGAGTTCAGATGCAAAAGCCTCTAAGTGCCATCTGAAATTTTATTCTAAAATTAGCATTTTTCTCAAGCTCCAATGTGTAAGTTCAGTAATTTCGCTTTAAAGGGTTAGTTCACCCAAAAATAAAAATTAGGCTGTGTTTTACTCACCCCCGATGCATCCTAGGTATATGACTTTCTTCTTTCAGACGAATCCAGTCGGAGTTATATTAAAAATTGTCTTTGATCTTTCAAGCTCTATTTTCTTACAAAAACGCATCGATTCGCTACAGGAGGCCTTTGTTCATCCCCCGGAGCCGTGTGAGACACTTGTTTTTGTGGAAGGGTGCTTTTTATTTCACGTCTTTTGGACTGAAGGATTGCAACACCCGCTGAGTA